CTGTGTCCAGTGACAAGCTGAGATGGTCTAGGGTATTTTTTATTGTTATTTTCTTGCCCGTTATTGTTTGATGGATCCATTTTAGTGTTGAGATTAAACATTTATTTGTTTAATATGCTGCCATTCTCTCAAAGCAACTTAAATATAACATTTCATTTGGATGGAATGCCCAAACGCTTGACTTTTTTGGGGTGTTCTAGCATTTCTTCCTCATAAAAGACAAACACAAACTGTCCATGTTTGTACATTTGTGTGCATGCAAAATGAATTCTTAGGTTTGTAATTTATTTTCCTTCATGCTTTTCAGTACTGGTAGAAGGAGTAATAATAGTGTCGCTGTTAGTCTTTTTAGTATTGCTAGCAGAAGTAACAGCTACAGCTGCATTAGAGACCCATTAGTTATCCATCCCATATTCTTTCCCACTGCTTTTTCTCCTCCTTCTTTCACTCTTTTTCTTTCTCACTATTTTTAAAACACATTCCATTTAATTGCTACTGGTCAATCAAACTTTGTCCATTCATACTCTTCTTCCCTCAAATATCAGAAGAATGAAATTCACACACACACACACACACACACAAAGGTCTCTGTAGTCTTAGACCCACTCTCTGTAGCTCCATCCTATAGAATCCTGGGATTTGTGGTTTTGCAAAGTATTTAGCCTTCCCCTTCTACTAAAGAGTGCTGGTGCCTCACAAAACTTCAAATCCCAGGATTCTGTAGGATGGAGCCATGACAGTTAAAGTGGTGTCAAATTGCATTGTCACTACAGTGAGCTACACCAAAAGTTTAAAACTCTACCAGCCAGCATGGTTTGAGTGCTGGACTACAACCCTGGAGACCAGGGTTCGATTCCCAGCTTGACCATGTAAACCCACTGAGTGACACTGGACAAGTCACACTCTCTCAACTTCAGGGGAAGGCAATGGAAAAACCTCCTCTGAACAAATCTTACCATGAAAACCCCATGACAGGTTCACCTTCTTAGCATTACCATAAGTTAGAAACAATTTGAAGGCATACAACATCAATAAACAACATGTTAATCTGTTAAAAAAATAAACCTGGGATGTGCACTCTAGGGTCTCTGTAATATCCATGCCAAGTTTCAAGTAGCTAAAGTGATCTTGGAGCTGTGCTGGAGAGGCATATGTAAACATGCATGTAAATAGTGTCATTGCTAGGGGGTAGACTGCACCAGATGACACTCTAAGGTTGTGTGTATGACACTACTGCTCCTGAAACACCTACCTTTTGGTAGAAATGGACTGTAACATTTAACTGCTTTCCTTTAAAACACTTTAAGAGATGGTGGGAGTGGGGTGAGTTCAGTGGGAGGTGAAAGAATAGGCCCCCAGAATTTTTTAAGTTAAAATTTCAAATTTCAATTTTTTTTTTAAAAAAAAAGTAAAGACATTTTTTTTAAAAAAAATATTCTTTTTAAATTTTTTTAAAAAAATGTCACATTTTAACCAAATCTTCACTATGTATATGCAAATACATTTAGGTTATGCATATGATATTGTAATTTGAAGGTATAATTTTAATTTTGCAAATTGTTTATGTCACAACTATTAGCATTGCATTCAGTGGTATATGGGAATTATGATTGATGAGTAACATTAGTGGGGGGGGGGAAGTATTACTAAGGAATGGTGTGGTGTGAAAAGGGAGAAGGTCAATGGGGGGGTGACACTACGAGTTACCATGCCAGGTGACACTAACTCTAGTAACACCACTGCATGTATGCCCTTTTTTTCTTTTGTTAGTCTAGATCAGGGGTAGGCAACCTTTCCCCTTTAAGGGGTGAGGGACTTCAGCTCTCAGAAGCCTCAGCCATGTTGGCCAATAGTCCCATGTTGGCCAATAGCTCCTGGGATTCTGGGAGCTGAAGTCCCTCGGCCCTTAAAGGGGAAAGGTTGCCTACTCCTGGTCTCGATGGATTGTTAGCAAAACCAGAATCAGAAGACCATTTCCTATGTCCACTGTCATCTCTGAATTTTGGATCAGAGAGACCAGATTTGAAAACCTCCTTCAGCCACCTAGATGGTTTTGGTAAAGGCATATCCTCTCAGATTACTCTGTTTTGTACAGTCATTGCAAGCCTGCTGGGTTTCCTCTAAGAGA